AGAAAAGACCTTTAAACTTAAGAGTTATATAATATTATCATAGGTAGAAAGATATACAGGACTAAAAGCTTATCAAGATAGCATAATAAACAAGTCATAGATGCTTCATATGTATACAACTGGCAGGATTTCATTTAACTACATACCCTGTATTTTTAGCTAAACAAAGTAACAAACAACTGTACAGCACAGAAAATATGAGTAACAGGTTTCACTATTTATCTTACTTTTATTTATCTTACTTTACTATTTATCTTATAAAAAAGGTAATTTTTAAGGGTAGATAATGTCATCTAAATATACTACTTCAATGGGTCAAGTATATTAGTTACAAAATTTCTGTGATTTATCCTTTGTAAAGCCAATCAGTAACGGCTGTTTTAAATGTGGACTTTGTGTTTGCAACAACACGAGAGACAACAAGGAAGATGAGTGCCATGCAGCTTGGTAAGACATTTAGAAACCAGTCATTTTTTGTCACAATCACAGATCGAGGGCAGACTGCCTGGAGCTTTCTGGGATTCTTTTCTACTGATGTACAGGCTGCCTGGTAATGAAATAGGCCAGGTATCTTCATGCCCCACTTTCCTCAGTAATAGATACTCTTTTCAACAGACATTCCTACTGTATTTTTGCTAGCTAATAAATCTATACCATCAGAAGCCAGTGACCTGGACCACACTTTCCCAACCTGTATCAAATGTTAGTATTTCTTATAACAAAACAATGGGGAGAGGTAGCATAGTTTGCAACTGCCAAATATTAAAATTCAGAAAACTTTTTGAAAGGATGTATGACATGCAGCCTTCTCTATCCATCCATATATATGTATATGTGTTTACATATACGTACATACCCATACATATGTACATGTGTCTGTATGTATGTCGGGATAGGGAAGGCTGCATGGCATAGATATCTAAGTACATGCATCTAGATTTTTTTTATATATATACATACACGCACACACACAGAGACATCTCTTTCATGCTATGAAGAATTTTTATTGAAATTTCCCAGCTGAGGTATCTGAAGAATTGTATCATTGACCATAGGGATGCATAGGCTCTCTTAATCAATTCTCTTTTTCATTACTGGAGTCCTGATTTTCTCCCTATCCCATGCCTTATAGTTATTCCCAGAAACCTCCCTCTCTTTCCTCACATTCCTCTATCTTCAGGAATTGTCTGGTACAGCTCCAACTATGGATCTGTGTTGCTATGTTATCCCAAGTTTCTTTTAAAACTCTCTGACTGGTCAAGGGACTTTGTGTCAGGTAAATAATCAAAGTCACTGCCATCACTAACTGGTTTTGGTGACTGGAAAGAGTATCGTGGATAAAGATTCATCCAGCCATTGCAGTCAGGTATCTAAAAAGAGTTTTCCTCTACATTCCAGACAAGATGATGTGTGTCACACGAACCATCCTCCCTTACCGATACCTCCCACAAAGTTATCTATCTTGAGAAAGTCGCACAAAGTCTGAAGGTAAATCTGGACAAGAATTTAATGAATATTCATATTTCTCACTCTGAACCATCTCACTAGAAATAAGAACTTTATATCTGGATCAAGTGTAGCACAAATATTCCAAGGTCAAAGAAGCCACAAATTTTGCATTACTTGTATTTCAGGACACATCATAGCCTCCCTCACAATAAGAAAGCAAAAGTAGTCAGGACTTCTAGTACTATCTTAAGTAGGAACAGATTACTTTTCTTGACTGGCTGTCCTTTTACAGTAAATGTAGAGGGGCATGACCCCTGTGCAAAACATTAAATTCAATAGTCAATATTTTCACTAGGGAGACTAGATATCTGAATAATGTCTTCCACCCTTAAAATCTCTGAATCATCACCATAGGTCCATATAACTAGCATCAAGAATTACTGCAAATAATAATTTACATTTTCTTCATCTTCCTTTTATATTATGGAATAATGTCAGGACTGACAAGACTGGGAAATGAGGAATTTGATTGATTTGTCAAGCTCACAGGAAATCTACAGTTCAGCCAGTTCCTGTAAGTCCACCTCCATTACTAGTTTTCTCTTCAGGTGTTGGTGACACCAACAACAGGTACATCCTCCTTCAGCGCTTGTAAAATTAAGCACACTTCTGCCCTGATGGCACTGTAACCTGTGTAGAAATGCCTGAGCTGTTTATATAGGTTAGGTGCCAATATGATTGTAGCTGCAGCAGAGCAGGCCAAAAATGGGTTACCAAACCCTCCTGGAAAACTGGTATAAACATCCAGACTGAGGTCTGTGCTGTCATGATTATACGATTATCATTACTAGAAATAAATAGTTTAAAGCCAGCTTAGACATGTCTACGTGACCTACAGTGTGAACATACTCTAACAACAAAGAAGAAACCACAAAGCTTGTGTATGCAATAGCTCTTATGGTCCTATAGGTCTTAATTTGAGTTTGCCTTGTTTACCTTGAACAGTTTACAAGAATCTACTTAAGTTGTCTTTTGAGTGAAAATACAAGATTGCCTTTTATATTTTCACTTAGGATTGAGAAATCCCTATTAGCAGTCCTGGCAAAGTTCTAATACCAAATCTTTTGATACAGATGAGGATTAATTCATGCTGTGCTGCAGCTGAACATGATCACACCATTTGTGAAAGACTAGGAACTCTCCATTTTGTATAATCTATTTTGTGCCTTTGAAGAGCTGCGAGTTACAGTGAGAGCTACGTGAAAGCGGAAAAAAAACATGTGCCATGAATACGCATCCTCGTTTTTAAATTAATTCGTTTCAGCTTTACCCTTGTTAATAATTCTCGGAAGCTTGTTTATGAGTAATTCAAAATGACTACTTAATAGATAAAATTCAATCTTCAGATTTTCGGAGTGCACATACAAATCACACGGTGTTTTTCCATTTCCTAATTGGAAAATAACTTCCCACAAATACTCTGCAGTACGGCTCCAGTTCGACAATCTTCTTATCTGAAAGCATGTGAATAATCACATCCTGATTCAACAATGCACTCTGAGACCTACTGAAGTTCAGTGACACGTACTTAAGGTTGAGCACTTGCTTAGTTAATGCATAGCTGAACTAGGGACTACTCACTTTAAAATTCAGCATTTTATCAAATGCTCCTGCCAGTAAACTCACTCACTTGAATTTCTGTGGAAGTACCAAATGAACATAAATTCCTTTAAAATTCATATAAAAATAAATTCATAGACATAGTTTGTAGAAAAACATAAAAATATAACAATATAAAAGAAGCTATAATGAGTCAGCCTAGTATCCTGCTTCCAACAGAGACCAAAACTGGGTGCTTAGGGAAAGTCATGAGAATAGATCAAGTCACTCAACTCTGTTTACATTTTTACTGGAAAAATTTTTGTCTGGAGATGAGTACAGCTGGTCAGATGGTATCTGAGCACTTCATTTCTTGATGCAGTTTGCAGGGGTTTGTAAGTGTACTAACAGATTCCCTTTTGCAATATTCAATAGATGAATATTTATGCTATGGTTTTTCCTATTATCTTTTGCAGATTCCTCTTCTGCTCTCACAGAGACAGGTCACACTTAGAGACTGTGATATAAGGTATTGTTTATTGAATACTCTAGACACCTACAAAATGGAACAGCCTGTAGAAAGGTCCAAAGCTAATCAGAATATATACAATCCTCTATCCAAACTTAGCCTTAGTTCTCACTTCTCAGTTTCAAAGAATAAGAGCTTTGAACAGTGGACTCTTCGAATCAGTCGTTTCCACGATTCATCTTCTCATTTGCCAACCAATATACTTGCTCCACATATTAACTCACAACTGCCCTCTAAAATACCCCGACATATATTCGTTATATGAAATCAAAGTGTATAATTGCTCTTATAACATCATTTTTTTCCTTTTTGTACTGATTTCTCAAGTTATTCTACATTTGTCATTTAGTATATTAAAAAGCACTAAAATTATGTATTACAATTAACACAGCGGTTCTATGGGCTTTTATTGTTATTTGGCACAATCAGGCAAACAGCAGAGGCAAACTAAACTGAAGAACAGAAACTAATATTAGCAACACTTTGCTTATTGCCTTAGCAATAAACAGCTGAGGGATAATGTGATGAGGAGAGATGAATCCTCACCACATTCTAAATTCCATCTACTAAATAAATTAGTAGTGTCATCAATATCATTGCTACATTTGCTCTCCGCAATAGCTGCTCTAGCACTGCTGTCCTCTTCAGTACTGACCCCCCAGCACTGTTGAATATGAAGGGCTGACTTCAAGGAGGTAAGACACAAAGGAGCCTGGCCTTGTTCCTAATGGGCATATGGTTTCCATTGCAGGTGTGTAGAGACAAAAGATGTTAATATTACATCTGCTTATAATTCTCTTATGCATTCATGCATTCATTTATTGCTTATAAAAGATGAAAAGTGGATAGCTTTGCCTAACCTGACTAAATTTCCCCTCAGTGTCCCAAAGGAATATTTGAAGACAAAATGAAAGGATTATCATAAAAACAAACAAACAAAAAACCTGGAACTGAAATCAAAAGTGAAAAATCTGGTGAACCTGAGGTACAATTCATTCCATAGCAATTTCAAATGTTCCCACTTCCAAATATTTGTTATTGCCTGTCTGCTGGAGGTTCTGGCTTCTGCAGCAAGGTTAAGGAAACGGAAGACGTTAACATTCCTCGGGAAGCTCAATGCAAATTCTGATGCCATAGTCTAAACCAGCCAGGAACTGGTTTCAGAAAAGGTACTAAACGCTGCATCTTCATATCTCAAGTTGTCACACCCCTTTGCTAATGGAGCACCATCCTAAGCCCTCAAACCAACTGAGATAAATTGAGACACTGAGATAAGCATAAGAGGATAAATAAGGATGTAATACACTCTAGTCATTAGTCTGCAGTTAGTTTAATGCTAAATCAATTACTGATAACAGCATAAACTCTGGCAGCACAGAAATTATAGTAGGCTGCAAAACCCAATTGTGGTGCCACCAGCTAGAAGGTGCTGAGCTTTTATTTTGCCATGGCAGCACTATTATTGGTGACCAGGCTAGATAGCTTGAAATTACGTGAGCTGCAGTCAGTCACCCTTTTGATCACAAGCAGACAGGTCTATAGGTATTGTGGCACACAGACTGAAGGTGACAGAGTTTCTTCAGAGCATACAGAATACTCCAAAGGTTACACAAGAAAAAATACCGGTGGAAGATTATATCCATCAGCATATGATGCAGTTGAAAAGTGTTTTGACAGACCAAGAATGTCATTACAGAAATCACGGTCAAAACCTTTCATAGCTTATTCCTTTCCTCTCTGCCTTCTCCCATAATTCCTCTATTGCATTTCTGATATCTGTCCCTGTACAACTAGCATTCCTTGAAAAAAGTGAGACAACAATTTAAAAACTCAGTTACCTCTTTAATGCAATAGTAAGAAAATGATAGCTGGTTTTAGTAATGTTTAAAGTATTTTATTTTATTGCCAATTTCAGTGTAAAGATAGGCTGGATATTTTTTTTTTTTTAATTATTGCAAACGTATTTTCTTTCCTTATCTGCCATCAAAGAAATGCTAAAGTACATAATACCATCCTCTATGCTAGGTTGCCAGCTGATGCTAATTGATAATGCCTCATTTTCTACAAAACTAAAGGGCTATTTTTTCCCCAACTCATTCTGCTCTTAAACACGCAAGCTACAGTTTTCCTTTCTGAATAAACACATACACCTGGATTTAGATAATCCTTCAGGAAATACTTACCTTCTTTTTATTGACAGTGTAATATACAGAGATTTTATTGATCAAAAAAGAGCATAGCCTGCTATGAGCTTGGAAAATGGCACCAGTGTATCTTATATAGATTTAATTCATGTTGTACAGAATGATTCACTATCACATCAATTCCAGGTAATAGGACTTCCGTAATTAGTCTTCAGGAACTCCTGAAGTGATGACTAAAACCATAAAATAAACTCATTGCATATTTTGAAACATTTCGTATACTTCTGTCAGGAAATAAGTAACACTACAGCAATATTTTTTTCCTAGTTCATGAGGTACTTCATACAACACATACTGACTATCAGCTCCCTAAAACTCCATTTTCAATATTAGCTGATTAATTAATACAATAACCCCACATGAGCTAAAACTTACTGTTGACTACACTTCCTTTTTCTGCAGAGTAATCAAATCAGTATAGATGTGGGAAATAAATATTCTTCCCCCAACAAAAATGCACAATTCTTAGTGCAAACAAATTTCCTACTTCTAAAGCCAACTATACAATAGACTCCAGATGGAGCAGACATAGATTTTATTCACAATAACCTAGTATGTCTTATTTACTTATAATGTGGACCTTTACTTACCTACAGTAAGTATGCACACATATATATAGTAATATATTTGTCCCGTTCCTTATAGGCTTTTAAAAAACACTAATGTATTTTTAAATTAATCACAATTATGATATTAATAAAGAATTTCAGGGTGCTAAAAAGGAACAGCACCTCCATAGAGTGAGATCATCATCATAAGGATTTTTTTCAGGGCAATAATCTAAGTATTGTTTACTGTAATCTTTTGAAATGAAGTGAGTTTCAGTGCTGATATCATAGCTTGACCCCATCACCATATGGAAGTAATTAAAATACAGATGAAGACAGATTTTACCTCTTCAGAGATAGCTGAGGACAAGCTGTCGAAATAACTGTGTCCAGAATTATTATTACTAAGCCAAAACTGTTAATTAATTACATTAGACAAAAATTAATTATCTCAGTCACCGTACACGAAAAATTTTCTGTAAGGTATTGACATGGATTCTTATTCAGAAAGAAATGTGAAATTGGTACACTCACGGTAACTTCTGTTTGTAAAGTCAGGCTGGTAATTTCCTGCAAAATAATATAGCATTTTGCATTGCTCTAGCTAGAAAAGATTTTCGGCAACACCTTTTTCCATTCTACAAGTCTCTTTTTATTTGCTTTTAGAAACACATTAATCCTGAGAAGGTAATTTTACTCACACTGTTCTTCCCACTCCTGGTCATCATCGCTGTGTTGACTATGCTGCTGAGCTTGCTTGAGGCTCAGATACAACTCTTTCGCTCGGATTTCTTCCTGCTGCCTTATTTGTTCTTCACCCTTTTGTCTTTCCTCTTCTTCTCTTCTCTAGGCAAAATGAAGTAAAACAGAGGTGACTAAAGAGGAAGAATGTGCCAAAAAGTTAGGACACTGCTTCAGTTGCTTCCTCCCACAGAGTAGATACGTTACCTTGGACAAATCACTGCCTCTTCTAACTTCGGGTTTCTCACCTACAACAACAGGCTTAATAGAAGTTTCCTACCTCTTAGAAATTTCCAAGAAAGGTATGTTTTGAGATGCACAGGTATCACAGGAATAAGGAACATGTAAGTATCTAAGACCAGAAATCTATACGGAAAACATGTTTTATCATGTGGCACCAAAGCCTGTGCTATCCTACGATCCATAAGCAGTGCTCGTTTTAAGTCCATGTGTACTCCCATTGGAGATATCACTGCCACTCAAGCAGTATACACATAATCTACAGAATCTGTAGAATTCAGCAACTGATTTACTGGTGTTCTTAGATTAGCAACTGTCACCATGTGTTATCATAACCAACACAGAATAATGTTTTCCAAATATCAAGATCATTACATTCTGGAAGAAAAGCCAGATCCTTCAGCACACACTAGTCACTTTGCAAAATGTAGCTAAAAGTAACATACAAAAAAGTTCCCTTCCAAGAAGACCTTAAAGGAGACGGAAATCTGATACAGATTGCCTCTACAGCTGGCCTTCCACATACTATCAATAACACATGAGCTTCACTAGTGCAGAAATAGGAAACTATCTGTTTTGTAATAAATTTTCCCAATTTCCTTAGATAGCGAAGAAGCAGATTTAATTCACTGTTCAATTGAATCCCCAAAACAATCCCAAACTGAACTTCATGCAGTATTATTCATATTATTGAAATAACTTGAATTGTGAATAAGAACAGGTTTTTTTATTTAATTTTATAGTGGAACCAACACTATACCCTTTTGGGCAACAAACTTACGGATAAGAATTTTGTTACAAGTCACTGAGTAAAATCACCCTGAATTATTAACCTAGTTACCTAACCTAAACTGTAAGTAAGGGAAGCCCAAAGTAGATTGTGAGTTGTTGCAAAATGTTAATCCTATCAAATTTCTAGGGTGAAGCAACTGAAATCCAGGTGAATAAAATCTGGTGAAGCTCTGCTTTTTACATTAGAAGGTTTGGGGAAGATCTTTCTGTCTTCCGTAAATAACTTTTGTTTATTAAAGGTCAGAAGTGGGATTTCATAAGATCTTTGCATTTTCCTAACTTTGCTCCCTTTTGTGGGATATTAATGTTTCATTGCAATGGGACCAGCAATACTTGAGCACAGGGAAAAAAAAGAAAAACAACAACAACAAAAAACCGAACCCAACAAAACCCCATGATTACTTTAAACTGGAAAACAATTTTCTGAAATGCACCAACATGTTCTATCAATCAGCTGAGCTGGTATATTTGAGCAAATGTTTCTTAGCTACAGACTTTGGACTGGTAATTTTTTTTTTTTTTCTTAAGACACGGTATGATGTAAAGTCTGAAAATTATGTTTAGATGGGATTGCTCGTGCTCTCAAAGGGGAATCAGACATATTTAGCTTCCTTTTTATTACATCATATTTGTGCACTGTGAACTTTGTGGAAGGGCATATTTTCTAAGTTTGAAAACAAACTTTCATCACAGGAGGATTCACAGCATGACCAAAACAACCCATGGTCTATTTTAATAAGTACTACAAATATAAGTGGAGAGATTTTAAAAATGGGGCCAAAATCTGACTTCTGTTATTCTCTAAACGTAGTCTGTGGGTTCAGGAGATGCAAAACTGAGCTTTCATGATGTTGCTCATAATGCTGCAAAAAGTAACTTGCATACCTACTTTTTTTAACACAGGTTCTTCCTGTTCAGTGTTTGAAGATGCTACTTATATGAAAGTTCACACTATGTATAAACGTTTGTTATAATTCAGCCTCTATTTAGGCTGAAAGGGGCTGAACTATCCAAAAGCTATATTCATTCAGTAAAAGTATATATTAATTAACACTTCCCTACAGTAAATAGTTTGTATTTTGTAATACATTGGAAAAGTACTCATTCGAAGGTTGTCTGTCCTATCTTAACACCTCCCAGGGCACAAATACCCAAAGCAATCCAAATATAGTAATATGAATGTCCAAACAGTGTTGTTGTTTAATGCCCCTAAGAGACACTCATACACATTTTCCCAATGGTGAAACAGGTGTCTGGAATGTCTGTCTGGAAAACGGAAAAAGCCTTTTGTCCACCATGGGGAAGAAAAGGCTTTTGTTTCTCTCCTCCCCCCACCCCAGTTCTCTCTAGCTCTGCAGAAGCTATCTGTTAACCAGAAATCTGGAATTAAAGGAAGATAACTCCAATTCTTTTCAGAAAATAGCTTTCCAAAGCAAACCATATTGCTGTTTGCAACCTCTAGAAGCTCAGGGAGGGACAGAAGCAGCAGAAGGAAGCAGGACTGTTTGGTTGTTCCGGTCAGGGATCACACAATGGCATGTTTAAGGAAGAATGACAAAAAGATTGAAAAGAAGTAAGCAATTTAGCAGTGACAAGCAATACCATCTTCAGAGTGGAAAAATGGAACAAATGCAAATCTCCACCCTTTGAAAGAATTCAGCCGCTTTTCCCTAAGTTATATAAATCAACATTTCTGCATTTAGCACAGCTGAGCTCCACTAGTTTACACCAGCAGAGGATCTGTCTTCTTGATAATACAACAAATCAAAAGACCTGAAATATGGGGTATTAATAGTGATCTACCTGTGTAGTGAATAATAGTTCCATAACACACATGATGAACAATACATTAGGCTGCTCTTATTATTTCTGAGAAAGAAAAGCCTAGTATTGTTCTTCAGTCACATTTAATGCTAGTATCTGTGATTATTTCTAACATCATCCTCCCACTGTTATCTCCTGAGTCCTAAGAAGATTAGCTGAGTGGACAGCTCATTATTTTTGAAAAGTCAATGCTTTTAGGAAGCACTGATTTCAAAGCCCACGAGCTTCTTCAGAATAAAAAAAAAAATTAAAAAATAAATTATCTTTTTAAATACCCCATAGAATTAGGGAT